GAGGGTCACAGCTCCCCCAGGGGCAGCAGGGCCCTGTTTCACATTTAGGCTGTCACAGTGAGCCCCCAACCCCAGCGCACCCCTTTTTAGGGGGCACCACAGCCTCTGCTTACTGCTGCCACTGCACCCCCACCAGAGGCTGAGTGAAGGGCACTTCTCCCCCACCCCAAAAAACTGCCTCCCTACAACCTGCCCCTCGTATCTCCCAACAGCCTAAAAGCTTGGGGTTGTTGGGGGGCAGAAGCAGCCCCTCCTCCCATATCCAGCAGTGGACTGGGGGGCAGAAGGGGGGCTGCAGGCCCCCCGCCCAGTGCTGAAGCCCCCCCAGAGCCATGCAGGGCAATGGGGGAGGCAGGAGGACGGGCGGCTGCTCGGCTCCTGCAGCTGATGAACGCATCGGGTCCTTGCAGCAGCAGGTCCCGGGGAGCGGAGGTCACCTGCTGACAAGCTCTTTTTTTTTTTTTTCTCCTCCCTGCATGCTCCTATTTTTTTTTTTAATGCTGTGCATGCAGTACTTGTGCTGACGCACAGAGGCACGCCTCTCCGCTGTTACAGAGTTCCTGAATTTACAATGACTCCACTGTGTGGCAAATGCCCTTAGACGAAAGGAGACTGCATCAAATAAATAAATAAATAAATAAATAGAATTTTCTTTTGTCACCTAGCAGAGATAAGGCTTTGATCACCTACGACCGCTTTCCATGGAGGGGCGGGGGGGGGGGGACACCAGGCTGCGCTCCCCCGGGGAGCTTTTCCCTCCGAGATGGACATCTTGCTGCTGCTGCAGGCATTGCGAAATGCCAGGGCTCCCAGAGCCGGGCGAGTATAGACACACAATATGGCTCGGTTTATTGTATGCAATCGGCACGCATCCAACATAGCATCACAAAAGAATTACTCTTATCTGATGTCTCTCCAGAGGTGTGTGCGTGTGTGTGCGGGGAGGGGGATTCCCACCGGGCAGAGCCCCGAGCAGAGTTTCCTTGCAGCCCCCCCGGGCTTTTCTTTGTCCTCCTTATTTTCCCGGAGGAAAACTTCCCTCTAGCCTCTTCCCCCCCCCCCCGCAGGTTTCCCCTCGCAAGCTCGGAGGCGACCAAGTTGGCTCCCTCTCCCCCGGGCAGCTCCGGCGTTGGGATGGATGCGGGAGCTTCCCAGGGGAATCGCGAGGCTTTGCCATCACCGAAACCCAAATAGCAGCTGCTAACCGGTGACCTCCCGACAAACACAACGCTACAAAAAGCCCTCCCCGCTCCCGAAGAAGCTCCGGAGCCCCGTCGCATCCCACGGATTTGGCGAGCATCCCCCTGGGCGAGGAGTTAGCGCCGGGGTGCTCCCATATGAGGGGATTTGGGGGTGGGGGGCAAAGGGATTGGGGAAAAAGAATCTATTTAAAGCCCAAGCGCTGCAGGGCTGGGGGAGCTGCCCCTCGGCATCCTCAGCTCCCTACAACTGCGGCTGGCGAGCCATTTTTAACCACGGGCGCCTCGAATAACGCGGTCACTGCGGAGGGGGGCAGCAGCTGGCGGCCTCCTCCCGAGGGGGGGGGACAGGGGACGGCGGCGGGGCCCCGGGGGTGCCGGCCCCAAGCAGCCCCCGCTGCCGGTGCTCGCCGCCCTACACCTGCTGCCGGCGGCCCCCCCACACCCCCGGACCCCCCCGCAGCAGCCCCCGGACCCCCCCTTCCCCAGAGCCTGCCCCGAGCCCGCAGCGAGCAGGGGGAAACCTGTGCCTGCGGCTATTCGCAGCGTCTCGGAAAAAAAAATACAATAATAATAAAATAAATAAAATAATAAGCCTTGATGCCGAATCGCTCCGGTCCCCACGCTACGCCACCGCCTTTTCCCTTCCGCCCGGCACTTTCCGCACTTTCTGTGCCCTCCGCTCCCCCCAGCACGCCCGGGGGAGGGTGGCAGAGCCTGGAGCCGACCTGAGGGTGGCAGGGAGCGGGGGATGGAGGACGAACCTGCCACCATGCGAGCCCCAGCCCTCTCCTCTCCTCTCCTCTCCTCTCCTCTCCTCTCCTCTCCTCTCCTCTCCTCTCCTCTCCCCTTCCCTGTCTTTCCCTTCCCCCCCCCCCCCCCCCACGCCTCTTCCTTTCTGCGCCCTTTCGCGATCATCCCCCTGCAACACCGGCATTATCTAAACAGCTTCACCGAGCAATAAAACACGGTTTAGATAGGGTTCAACATCTGGCATTAAAAGGCAAAGGAGGGGGGGGGGAAATAAATAAATAAAAATAAAAAGCACCACGGGACTTTGTTTTTACGACCGAGTGTAAGCGCTGTCAGGTTGCTTCGCTCCCAAGTTAACTCCTTCCAACAGCTGGGAGCGCGGCTTAGCTAACCTGGTGCATTCGCCTCACCCCTCCTTAAAACCCCAAAAAAAGAATCGGCTCCTGCGGGCTGCTTTAGGGAACTTGCAAGCTGCCGGGGCTGGGTGGGGGAGTCCCCCCCCGGACTCGCGGGTGCGTGCCCGTGGGTGCGTGCCCGTGCGCTCCCGAGCAGCCAGGCTGCGGGAATGAAGCGGCGCGGAGCCGGGAGCCCTCCAACCCCGGCTGCTGAGTCACAGAAATAGAAAAAGCCACCCTGCCCGGTCCCCCGGCGGCTCGCAGCGGGCAGGGAGCGTTTTGCGGCGGGGCTGCGAGCCCCGAGGCCGGCCGGTGGCCGCCCGCCGCCGGGGGCTGCTCGCAGGGAGCCCGGGCAGGGGCCGGATCTGCCACCGGGGCAGGTGGTGATGGGGAGAGAAACCGAAAGGAAAGCCCTCGTTCATTTGCGTACAGGGCGACAGCCACTCCCTTCAGGAAACTCGGGGCGTTTGAAATCGGCGTGGTTAATGATTAAAAACCCCTTTAAACTCGCCAAATGCAAGCGTTCCGTAGAAAATTTCTGCTGCTTCCTGAGCAAAAAAAAAAAAAAAAAAAAAAAATCCCCCCACACCACCACCACCGCCACCACCGCCATCACCCCCCCTCCCGGCCCCGAAGCGAACCCCGGAGCCCCCCGACCACCGCTACCGAGCACCCGGCGACTTTGGCGAGGGCTCCTGCTCCGCTGCGGCGGTGCCGCCTGGCTACGGCCCCGGCCCCGGCCCCATCCATTTTTTCCCCCTCGGCTGCTCAGACCCCGTCGCAAACCCCCTCTCCTCCCGCTTGACACCCCCTTTCCCCCCCGCCGTCCCCCCGCCCGGAGTTGGAGCACATAATTTCATCGCATGACCCCTAAAGGGTTAAGGATAATACCTACCAAATCTGCTGTGGTCTTGCCTGGTTCCCTGGATAGTACCATTGGGGAAGATTTCTAAATGAAATCCAGTCCTGCAGTATAGCTGCCTCCGCCTGAGGATCCCCTTTAAATGGTCCAAGTCCGTGACCGCAGGCCCCCTGGGTAGCCCACCTGCCTCAGACTGACCCAGGTGGTCACTTAACAAAACCGGACTATCCACCGGCAAAACGGGCACACTCCCAAAGGGTACTGCATCCTGCACACCGAAATAGTTCCCAACTTCACCTAAGGGAGCCATCAGAAGATTCTGCTTTTAGAGAATAAGAATAAACAATAATGATGGTGCCAAACCCAGGAGATATAAGATTAGGTATATTCCACTCCTCTCCCCTCCCTAGCGCAGTTACAGAGAAAATGTTCTTTCTTCAATCCATTAAATGCATAAATAAAAGTAATATTCTGTTTTGACTGGTACAGGTTCAAGGTCAAACCAGTTAGTCTAAGAAACCACCACTTTATACTCACACACTGACATATTTATAAACATATAGATGTATATATCTATATAAATGCATATATCCCCAGCTCTTAGCAAGCAATAAGGTCTTCAGCCCATCCAACTGTAATAAAGAAAAAAATCCGTAGTTTCTCCATTTGGTTTAAGATAAGAATGACCATAGCAACTTAAATACCTAGGCGTTATAGGGATTTTTTTTTTTTAAGATGCACAGGCTACGTCAGGATTTATGGATTCTGACTCCAGAAAGGCATGCGCTGTTTTTACTCTATAACAGACTGCATACATCAGCATGAATCCTGCAAAGGGGGAGGGGGGAAATCTCACGTTGTTGGCTGAGATAAATCCGAAAAAAAAAAAAAAAAATGGAAAGGAAAAAAAGGCAAAAGGCACAAAAAAATTAAAAATATAAAACTTTTGACGTCCAAATCTATTATCCAGAATTCTCAGGAGGCTCAGCAGATGTCCACTGGTTTAGGGTTATTGCCGATCCACAAGCAAAGCAGCAACATACAAGTGCTTGTGCCTTTCTTGGCTGGCTCGAAACAGGTGTTGCTTCTGCAGGGCTCCCTGTGAAATGTTGTACTCCAGCACTGAGCTGCAGCTCTTGACTGTGGATCTCCATCCAGCACGCAGAGTGGCGCAGGAAGAGGCATTGGGCTGGGTTTAAGGTAGTCCTGATTGCTGCTGGAAGGATTCTCCGAGGTCCTAGCGCTCAGCCCTACCTGCTGCAATACAGACGCGCTCCCGGCGCCGGGCACTTACTGCTCTGCGGCAGCGCAGGGGCTCGGGAAGAAATCATGAAAGCTGGGGGGGAGGAAGGGGAGGGGGGATGCTACGTGCCCCGGGGTCACCCCGCTGCGGGATCAGCTCCCGGGGGTGCCCTCGGCAGCGCCCGCCCCCAGCCCCCCTCCCCTCCATCCATCCCCCGGGGGCTGCAGCCCCCCGTTGAGCCCCTGCACCAAGAGGGGTGCGAAGTCAAACCGGCGTGGTCACCGGGAAGTTTGGGAGGGGGGGGTTCTTAATTTTTAATTTTTTTCTTTAGGGGGGAGGCATGGTCATGGATCACGCTGCGCGGTTTTCCTCTCCCCTCCTGCTCCCCTCGTCCCCGCAATCCTAAAGCCCCTGTCCCCGGGATCCTGAAACCCCTCTCCCCCAGATCCTAAAGCCCCTGTCCCCGGGATCCTAAAGCCCCTTTCTCCGGGGATCCTGAAGCCCCCCTGGTCCTGCAGCCCCGCTGTGCCCCCGCACCGGGGCTCGGGGGGGAGTTTTTGGGGGATGCCCCTTGTGGCCGCGGGGAACCCCAAGCGCTGCGGGCACAAGTCCTTCCGAGCAGGGTGAAGGGGAAGGAGAAGAGGATCGGGGGGAGGCAGGGAGGAAAAATCATCCCCACGGCGCCGAGACGTAAGTAAAGTGTTCTCCTCCCGCAAGCAGAAGTTATTTAAAACCGCCAGGAGAGAGCCGGTGGGGGGCATTGGGGGGGGGGGGGGGGGAAAGAAGAGGATTTATGTTTCTTCTCGTGATGCCGATGATTGATGTTATTGTTGTTTTGCCGCTCTTCAGTATAGCTGCATTCATTAGCAAAGCGACAGAAGGGTCTCCTGCCTTTCCAGAAGGATTGCTCGAGCAGAGCTCAAGGACTGGGCACAATGCAGGGGCTGCACCGAGGGAGAGGACGGCTCCCGCAGCCCCCCGGAATTCAATGCAAAACCTGAGGTCAGGCTTTTTTTTTTTTTTTTTTTTTTTTTTTTTTTTTTTTTTTTTTTGCAGGGGGAGAGAGGGAGAGAAAGGGAAGAAACATAATATCATGGGAGCTGGGGGGAGAGACTGCACGGTGGGAATGATGCTGCACGTCTTGGAGGTGGCGGGGCCCAGGAAGGTCACCCAGTGGAGGCTGGAAACGCAGCTCGGGAAAAGGAGGGCTTTGCAAGGAGGTTAATTAAAAATACTTGACTCTCCGCATGTCTTCCTGCGGGATGGGCATGCGGCAGAGGGAGAGGCTCTCCTGGCCTTCCCCACCACAAAAGCCAGCAGCCCAGCTCCCAGCCTTTCGGAAGCCCTCCACTTGCCACCGTGACTTAACACTTAAGTGGAGGGATGGAGACTTCCAGTTCCCATGTCCATGGGGGAACCGCAGCAGGGACAGGCTGTGTCCTCAATCCCCAGGGGTGTGCAGGGAACAGGCAAACCCCACGCCAGTGGCACACGAGCCACCTGCCCTTCATTCCCCTCCATCGGTCACTATTACTATTTGAAAGATGGGTTTCAGCAGCATCAGAGCAGGGTCCCATCCCGCTAGCCCCACACAAACCCACAGAAGAAACAGTTGCTGCACATCAGTCCATGCATTTCGACGTGTAAGACCAGGCCAGCACCCCCACCCCCAGACCCAGGACGTCAGGAGGGACTCAGCGCTCCCCGGTCATGTTCCCTATATATCAGGTTTAAGGACACTGCTCTCACACACACAATGGATGTATCAGTGTGAACAACTGCAGAATGACTTGGGAAAAACTGCAGAACTCGCCATGTCAAAAATCATTATTCTTTATCAACTTGATCACGGCAGTACCCAGAGGCCCCTGCTCGGGGATCACAGTCCCATTGTGCTGGATACTGTAGACACATGTAATCAGAGAGATGGTCTATGCCCAAAGAGCTTATGATCTTAACCCATGATGAAAGACAACAGGTGTATACCCCAGACACATGGGGGAAGGATAAGGGGAAAGCAGCGTTGAGAATAAAAAGCAACAGGCCTGGCCAATGACAAGTGTTTTGTGGCAGAAGGAAGTTTTAAGGAGATTTGAAGGAGAACAATAAAGGAGCTTTATGGTTATTAATGGGAAGCTTTTTCCATGCATAATGTGTAACTTGGAAGGGAACATAAAATTGCTTGTTAGGAAATTGGGCTGCTGAGAAGTGAAGGCTTGCGCCACTGGCAAAGCAAAAGGAGCTTACCGCAGAGCAACCAAGGGGCCTGCTATCTGCTGTCTGGTGCTGCTCATTCTGGAAACAGCCTCGCTCCTTCCCAGTGCCTTAAAATTTACAGTTGTAGTCCCAGTGAAAAGTACAATAAGGATTTTTTTTTTCTGTAGCCTCTGTAGCCCAAGATTCATAATTTTCTGTCTTGTACTTCAGATCAGCATACCTTATGAGAAATATCTGAAGGTAAGGAGGAAGTATTGGTAGAGTTGGTTTTATTTGTTGTTGTTTGCTTTTTTTTTTTTTAAGGAACTCAAACGAAAGCCCACATATTATTGGCTCTAGGAAGTTTAGTGTTATAAAAGTGTTATCTAAGTTGAGGCTTTGATGTCTGAATTACTCATAAGTATCAAAGCCACACATGAATTATGCAGGACATCCCCAAAATTATACCCATCTGTGAGTAGGTGGTGTTCCAACCCTGCTTCACATAAAATCTATGTGTGATGTGTAATGTCAAGCTTACCCCTTACAGAAGTATGGCTTTACTGATAGCTCAGGCTGTATTAAAAACCTACACTTTTATCCCCAAGACACGGAGGCAGGAACATCCCTAGCTCCCCTCAACTAGAGATTCACACCCACTTCCCTTATACCCTCCTGGAATTAAAGACTGCATCTGCCACAGTGAGTCATCAAGAGCTTACTCATCAGCTTTATGCAGGATTTTAACTCCTGCTAGCAGAGCTGGTCAGAAGAACCCTGCATTTCTTAAGTAGTTCCTGGCACACATTCTCCTCACATGCACCACACTGATGCGACACCTCTGGCAAGCTTTACAGTCATGATTTTTTTTTTTTTTTTACTGTCTTACCTGTACTCTGCCAACCCATTGAACTTAACAAGAGCTCTTCATATATCATATGTTGAGTGTCATTTTTAAAAAAATCAGCCTGCTGTAAAATGTTTGTTTTTTCTTTCCTTCAGATTGCATAATTTCACCCAAAGTACAGAATCATTTTTTTAGACCTACAATATAACTAATTTGTTTATTTCCAAGCCCTGCAGATGAAGACTTGGAAGATTTATACTATTAAAAAAGAGGTTCTACAACTTTCCAGTGAAACACATGGCATTTGCCAATTTTACTAAAAAGCCTTGAGTCAGCAAACTTTAAAAAGCTGCCTTTTGATATATAGAAAATAGTACAGAATGTAACATTACTTTCATTTATTTTTTTTTTTACAAACAGGAATTCTCAGGATACTTCGGGAGCATGATATAAACCCGAAGATGACAAGAGTGTAATTTATCTCACCTCACATCAGGCTGCTACAGTGGAGACAACTAGATCTAGATTACTTGTTCTTTAATGCAGAGAAATAGGAGCAATTTTAGGGCACAAATCATCTGACCTATTCTAGGCGTCTACTTTAGGATGACATGACTCATGCACTAGAGATGCTTAATTCTTTCCAGTGTATGAAGGGAACCTATATTAGATAGAGACTTCTCCATGACAGAGGTCTAGATAGGACTGGATGGATCCCACCTGCTGTGCTATACATGTGATTCAGCATTTCCCCAGAAAGGATGGTGAGGGCATTAAACTATTAATACAGCTGCACAGATTAATTCTCCAAGGAAAACTCTTGTCATCCCAGCAAGGAAAAGTAACTGAAACACATAATTATAAAACATTGGGTTACCTGGAAATAAATAAAATATTCGTGAAAACCTATTAGCCATGCAATTCAGGTTGATTGGATTAACATAACAAGTGCCCATAGGCTTAGGAACAATGATGTAGAAGAATGTTCTTGCTTTTTCACTTCAGAATTGGTAGGAAAAAAGTAAGAGTACACATTAAAAAAAAAAAAAAAAGAATTTGGAATCTTGGAATCCCAGAAAGAAACATGGAAAGGTCTATTTCATATGGGGTACACTCAGTTCAACAAATTTTCATATCAGAGGACCGTAAAACATAATGCAGTTTAGAATATAATGCAGTTTAAAACATCAGCATCAGTGACAGCATGCACACAGCCTCAGCAGGGTATATGACACGGACTTCTTATGCCATTATGGTATTTTGCTGCATATGGGAATCAGTGAGCCTACATTAAATAAGCATGGCAGAATATGATCTTTGGGGCTGTCCTAGGAAGTAAGCTATAAGGTTACATATTTAAAGGTATTTTGATTTAAGTAAAAAAAAAAATAATGTCATTATTAGTCAGATTCAGTCCAGTGCATTGACACAGATACTAATGCAGCCTCCTGGAATGTATTTGTAGGCAATACTTGAAAGCAGTTAAGTGATGAAAGTGTTAAAACCACCAAATATGTTTAAAACTTCTCTGATGTATGTACTTGTACAGGGCTCATACCTGCTGCTTTTAACACAGAATTAACTGATGTTGTAAGTCCCTCCAGCTCAAGAGTGAAAGTGGCATTGACTGCAAGGAGAAAAGAGGAAGAAATCACATTTGCTGCTCATGCATCTGCCCGGAGAGGCCTTCTCATGGCAAGCAGTGCTTGTGGCACAGCTCAGTGTCAGAACTGGTCTGCTATCACCCGTCCCGGTTTGCTTATCTCCTGACCAGGTTCACTCTTGTTTGTGTACGGAGATTTCTGCCTTCTTCATGCTCACGTGTTGTTGCTGCTCATTTGCGAGCTCGGAAGAGTTTGGCAGCAGGCTGCAGTCAGTCGGAGCAGCCTCTAGGGTGTCCCTGAAGTTCTTTCTTAGCCAGCTGTGCTTCGTGCTCAGCTCGTTTGCTGTCTGAGCGATGGGGTGGCATTCGTACACCAGCCAAAGCACCGATCAAAACCACCCGCTGAACCATACCTCCCAGTGCTGGGCCGACCACGCAGCCGGCAACCTGCCTTGAGCAGCTCATCGCCACTGCCCTTGGGGCCAGGAGAGAGGATGCCAGCCCTTGGGGGCTGGATACGTGCCCCAGCTCACCGCCACGGCCAGAACAGCAGCCTGGCACCCCTTCATCCCTGTGGAGGACACGGTCTACACCGAACCCATGCCCACCTTCTGGGATGGCCGAACACCTCGACGGGCAGGACTGCACCTCCATGGGTGGTAAGGTGGCCACCCAGGGCATGCATCCTGCACATCCCACAGCCCTCCCTCCTCCTGAGGACACCTCCCCGAGGCAGGAGGACGCCTCCCCGACGGGCTGCAGGAGGCTGCTCGCCCCAGCAGCCCCCCACGTCCCCCAGCCACTTCCAGCCAGAGAAGGAGGAGGGCAGCGAGGGCCGGGGGAGGGCGCCAGGGCTGCCGGGCAGGGGCAGCCGCCCCGCCGCGCTTGTGCGGGCCTCTCTTGCCCTCTAGCGGGCAAAGCCAGCGGGGCGGCCCCGCAGTGCCCCCTGCGGCCTCCTCCTCTTCCTCGGCTTCCTCCTCCCTTCCCTGGGCAGGGCTCCCTGTGGGACATCGGAGTGTGGGGCCCACCTCAGCATCCCTCCCCCCCCCCCCGCCCCGTACCAGGGGACAAGCTGTGGGGTCCCCCCCTCAGCACCCCGTGTATGGGCTCCTTGTGGGCTCCTGGGGTCAACAGGGACAGGGACCAAGTGCTATGGCCCCAGAGAGCAACTGAACGAGTCTGTGGCAATCAGTGGCCATGTGTCTGGGTGGTAGAGGCTCCATCCATCTGCGGTGGTCCCTCCAACTGGTCGTGGTTGCCAACCACCTCCCTATTGCTTGGGCGAAGCGATGGATGAGCCCCAAGGGAAGCACAGGGCTCAGTGCCCCCACTGCTGGGCAGACGTCAGGTGCCCGCTGCTGCTGCTGAAGAAAAAAGCAGAAGCTGGGGACAAGGGTGCTCCAGACATGGTCCTGCCCCTGGAGGAGATGGGGGCAACTCTGCAGTGAGCTCATGGCTGAGTGGGACTCAAGATGGGCTGCTCTTGGGAAAGGGAGATTGTCCACAGTCGTGTGGGACCTACTGGTGTACCATTGAAGGCAGGTTCTTCAAGTAGTTTAGCCTTTTTATACAAAAAAAAAAAAAAAAAAAAAAAAAAAGTCCATTTTTTTGCTGATGAATTACAAAATATTTCAGTATCATCATCCCCATTGTTTTCTTCCTTCACAGATACAAATTAGTGAAAACTTTGGCTTTTCCTACATTATTTTATATGTACTACGTCCATCTAACAGAAGATCTTCTAGCTTCTCTAAGAATTCTTCCATTGCAAGTATGCTTTCAAAAATTTGCTTTTCTTTTTAAAAATGCTTGTGATTGATTTTCTTCCTGTAGCCTTCAACTTTATTTTATATCCCTGTTTTCCCCATTTGGTAGATCACTTTATTTTTGCACTCTCCCCATTTTTCAAATTATCAATATTATATATTGCATTTTTTCTCTGCTGTTGTAATCACTGAACTACTATAGGCTATCATAAAAAGTTACCCTTTTTTATGAAATAGATAGTTTTTATCCCCTTCCCTCCCCTTTTTTTTTTAATTTCTCACTCTTTGGGAAACCCTAATACCTGTGGGATGCCTTTCCCCTCTCGTCATGGCTCCTTGAAGCTGAGCACTGACGAGAAAGCCCTCTGTTTGCTGGTAGTGAGCGTAGTCAGGTCACTTGGAATGTAATCACTTAGAAACCTCCACTCTCTGCTACAGTATTATAATCCTTTGTAATATTTTGCATGCCTGTGTCTGTTTCATTTGCTTAAACACTATCCAATTACTTTGTTGATAACTAACATATTTTGCATGTTTTTGCCTGTTGATTTCCTTAATCATTCTGCCACTATTTCACTCAGCAGTATGCAAACTGCACTCTGATTTGGTGATGTGAAGAGACAGAAAATAATATAACCATTTTCTTCAAATAGTTACTGTGGATATGTACTAATGTTTTCCTTTTGACTGGCCAAGGCAAAAACATCTCTGACTACTGTCTGGGCTTGGTGTTACCTCAACTTGGTACTCCTGTACTTCTGCTTTTACAGCAAGACAAGAGACCCTTCCCTTTACAGGAAGGGAAGAGGCTGCTCAAGTAAAGGCAGCAGCCGTGGGTAGCTGAGGGACTGTATGATTACTAAACCATTCCCCATGGAGGACTGCCATCTTCTGTTTGAGTTATTTCTGTTTGCCCAATGTGAAGAAGTTTATAAAGGAACTGGGCAAAAGTATGAGAATAAATGCTTTACATTTTGGAGAGGGTGGGAGGTCATGGAAAATGCATTCCATATTTTGGGTTTGAGAGAACATCTGACATATTTGATAGCCCAATTCAAGAAATAACATAGTTATAAGAGTCTGGGGTACAGCTATGCCACTGCCTTCTTTGTGACAGTGGCAGTAGGAAACACCAGTTAAGGAGTACATGTGTTCTTGGCCACCTTGTACAGTTTGTTCTCCTTGTTCTCCACCAGCAACCATGACCACTGGGTTAGGGACATCATAAGGTACATCCCTGCACATTCTGTCTAGTATTTGCTTATAGACAGGCTGTTCCTGAATTTGCATAATCCCAGTTTGATCCTGCCTCCATACTTCGTCTCATATGACAATAAAATCCAGAATTTCACTATCCTCTTTGTAAAAAAAGAACTTTCTTTTATTGATTTCAAACCAATCTCTCACTAGTTTAATTGAATGACTCCTAATCCTTGTGTTACAACAGCAGAGTAACAGTTATGCCCCCCATTCTCTTCATGATTTTGTAAAACTTACTCTTTGCCCTTAGACTTCTCCTCTCCAAACTGAAGAGTCACAGTCTATGGAGCCTCTCATCAGGCACCCAGGAGGCTCAAGGGTCTTACTTTCCCTTGAGGAGACAATAAACATTATAAATATTACTGGAAACTTAGGTAATGTCAAGCAAAACTAAGGGATGATAGAAGATAGGACAATAAGCAGGCTCATATGACATGTTAGGTGCAGCTTATAAGGCAAATTATCAAAATCATTTCAACCACGAGAATCCCAGGGACATGCTTTTGTTTGCTCACTGAAGGGTAAGTTTGCCAAGCACTGGTCATGTATATAGTATGTCAAATGTTTTGTGGAACCAATCAATGCTAAATTCCTTAACAATTCATGCAATGTGACTATCATCACAGAGAAAACAGTGGACTTTTCACATCATGTATCTTGTAGAGTACTAAAGAAGTACCCAGGTGTTGACTGTTATATAGCTCTGGTGAACACAGTTTTAACCATGGAAACCGTATCAAAAGATTACCTCAAGTGTTGATGGCTTGGCTAACTATGCTAATGCTGTGTGCAAGTACAAATTTTTAAGTTTGACCCTGGCAGAAAGACATTAACAGGGGGGAGTGCTGATCCTCAGACAACACCAACATCAGAGGCAATTAAATGACATTGGGTAGACTTTTTATGTTTGATGATCACTGTATTATGGTGTTATATTGATGATATACACAGACAAGGTAAAGGGAGAGAGAACTGTGCAAATTGCCATCCATGTAAGCTTTCCACATGCCACTGTGTGCCACCAGAAGTACTTTATGTATTATTCCAGGTGCTGGTGAAGAGTTGGAAACTTTACCTTTAGCATGCACAGCTGCAACCCATGCCTGATGTTACTCAGGGAGTTAACTAATGGTAATAATGGTCTCTTCTAGGTTTAAAATGTGTGCAAAATGGGCTTTCAGGAAAAGAACTGAATGTTCTGAAAGCCTAAATGTGATTTTCCCCTCCCTCTCTCTGGCTGTCAACACACGTTTTATCAGGGTCACCAAGACACGTCTGCATGTTAGACTGGCTGTTTCTCCCCAGAGGTTGTACCTCCCTATGGAGGAGCTGAACAGAAAAAGTCTCTGCACCTCTGCCCCCAGACCTCAACATTCGAACTACATTTCCACATCCTGTCCATTGCTCTGAAAAATGGGACAAGGAGATGAAAAGCTCTTAGCTCACAAGAGTTTGCTTCTCTGCCTTCATAGCTGCCCTTGATAAAAAACAGCTTTCCCACCCTGTTGTTGTTTAGAGAGTTTGTCAGTCTGCAAACCTGAAATCCACCATTGGGATTCCAGTCCTCTCCCTGCAGCTGTTATTCTAAGAGAGCTTAGAAATTCATCAGAGGGTCTGAAAAACATAGCAGCACTGGAAATTCACACCAGAAATAGATGCCGTCTGAACAGCTTTGCTTTCTCTAGGCATTGCAGTGAAAACCCTGACAGACAATTGAGGAAGAAACCATTCAGGAGGTTCCTGTGCTTCCTCCGCTTTAAACATTGATCTAGGTTTGAGGAAGAGGATTACAATGACCATTAAGGATTCTCAGGGACTGAAATTATAGCACACCAAAGCACTGAGAGCTCACTTTTGCAGATATGGACAAATTGGCTCAGACTGCCTTGCCCTTACTGCAGTAGCGCTGCAGCCAACAGAACTACACATGTAAATGTTGAGACATCAGACAGACCTCTAGTATTAGGTATCCTACTTTTTTTAGTGTGGGCCAGGCTTCTAAAGAAACACATGGCAAAACTGAAGGAAAATTATCTTGCCAAGCCTCAAGTTATGCTATTCATATAAATCTTGATATGAACAAGCAAAAGGAATTTGCTTGAACTTTCTGGAATTCATACCTCATATTCTTGTAATCATCTGATTGTTCCAGCTCTGTATCTGGAAACGTGGTGCTGCTGCTCTGCCGAGGGCTGAGCTACTCAGAAACACAGAGCTTGTAAGCTTGCTCCCTTGCTCAGAGTGCGTCTTTTCTGGTTGTGTCTCCCAGTGGGTTAATGGTCGCGCTGCAAACCCCATTCCTCCAAAAAACTCTGGAGCAGATTCTCTGCTGTGATAAATTGCCAGAGCACCATGACATTGCTGGAGCTCTGACAAATGATATGAAAAGAGTAGAAGCACATTTGGGTCCTTTATTTCCTTAAGTAAAAAACCCTCTTACAGTTCATCATTGTAAACCCTCAGAATCTCAGAATCATTCTTGGCCACAGCGTCCATAATTACAGAAAACAGTGCTCAGCTGTAGAAGTGTGAGGACTGAGTCCTTTGTAAATGTTCCTGAATATTCCTTTCTGAAGATTTCATTGTCACTAAGTTTTTCCCACATATAGACTTTGGTCCAGTAGTGCCCATATTTTATTTATAATTTGAGTCACATGCTGCTTCCATAATTTTTTGTCTAGTCATTTTAAACATCTCTGTATAGTACTCAGACAACAATGGCGAATCTTGTAGCTATTATTATATTTGCAATTTCCCTTGGGTGTTAGCAATGTCTATATAATGCAGTCTACCTAATAATTCAAAGTTATTGCATTCCAAAGCTATTAGAAAGTTGAAGCTTTTATTAGAGATGTCTATTAATCTAACAGTGGGAATTAAGCTTATTTCTCAGCATTTTTGAAAGGTACAAATAAATCTATAAGGCACACACAAATGCCATGCCTGAGAAATAACAGCATTCTGGTAATGTGCTTGAAAAGAGTTGCTCATTTATAAGGATATTTTACAAGTAGAGTGTCTCTGTTCAGGAACACAGAATCAAATAGTTTCCATTACTGAAATGATTTGAAATTTTGTGTTTTATAAGGCCAAGGACAAATATTCAAAAGACAGGGTCTAAATTAAGTCTGAAAGGCTAAGATGTTCAAAGCAGCTCTTTGGTGTCTCTTTTTTGGCAATTAAGTTTAAAAATTCTGCAGATGCCTCATGTGATTGCTATGTAAGTGAACTTCAGAAAGTGCATATAGAAAATTAGATCCATTAAGATCTCTTCAGTATCTTTAATTATTCACTTACTTATACCCTAAGTAATGCTGAGGATTGCAGTGCCTGATTTTAAGCTCCCGTTGTTTTAAATTCCTGCCCTCATCCTTCTGTAGTGAGATTACTCTTTCATTAATCTGTGGCATTTTTTTTACATGTGAAAATTTCAAATACTCTCTTTACATCACTTCATACCTCCTTAGCACTTCAGAAAATTATGTCAACCAAGTCTAAATCACTAAAGGTTTCCTATTTCATAGGATATACAGCTACGATGTTTGCATTAGAGTAGTTGGGGTAGTCACTGGGGTTAGTCCTGCCAGGTTATGGAGAACAGACATGAGCTGCCAAGAAGGCAGATAAGCATGGTATTTTTTTATTCATAGTACCTTTTTATTCACATTTTACTTCTTAAGTAAACTGAGAAGAACAGCCAGTGCAAGCAACAAGACAGCACCAAGCCTGTATGCAACGTACACCACAAGAAAAAAACATTCGTTTCATACCAAATTCTGCCTGCACCTGGCCTTCCAGCTTGACCTGGCAAGCTACTCCTTTCGAGACTGCTCCCTAGATAAGCTACTTCTGAGCAGAAGGTTGTAAAATGGTAGGGAGGTGGGGCTGTTGGTTCTTAATTTTTCATCTTTTGACCAGCATTTAAGCACGTGAAGATCACAGTTTCTCCCCCTCTCCTTTACAGATGCAGAGCAGTCCGCCTCCTTCTCCCTCACTTCAGGTGGGCAGCATGGGCATATAACTCTGGGCTATTTCATGCCTGGGGAGTCTTTCTGATGGGGCTGAATGCAAGAGCTTTGACCCTTGGTACTTTACCTTTGGCAGGCTGTAAATTCATAACCTACTTCTATGCACTGGGCAAGTTTTGGGCAGCAAACTCAAACCTCTTGGTGGTAAGCTTCACACAAGTGGCGTTGGTTGCAACCAGTTGACAGTACAAAACTGCATGAGTTTACCTCATTTCCAGTCTTAATCTGATTGGGAATATGAACAGCTAAACTCAGCATCAGTTATGTGTAGGTCACAAGAAAACACGAAGTCACACTGAGCTGGAGAGGAATTACTCCTGACATTGTACCCTTTCTCAAGGACATTCACACATGCAGGCATCTCTGCTAGTCCTAACACTGACTAACTAACTGCAGAAAAGGAATATCAATTAGGATATATTAAAAAAAAAAAAAAAAAAAAAAAAAAAAAAAAAAAAAAAAAAAAAAAGTCTGTTCAAGCTTCTCTGGGGACCAATCTGGATATTTATTGAAAAAAAAAAAAAAAAAAAAGAAGGGGAAAAAAATCTTACATGATGAGAGATATATTTCCCGGTCCACAAAACAAACCATCAGTTTAGACAGATGGAAAAGGATTTTTCTCACATTGCAGAATGCTGGCTGATGCTCTTCTGAGGACTTAGGCTTCCACTCACTGCTCTAGTTGGTTCCCATCCCTTCCATCATTACACGGAGTACTAACTGCTGCTGCATGGCCATTATTGTTGAGTCTGCAGAAACTAAGGCCATCTTTTTGCTGACAGCATAACTGATAAGACTGCAGTGTCATGTGAGTTGTTTTTCAGGTCATGTCTTTGGGATTTGGTTTTGGTTTGTTCTCCCTCTGTTTTCTTAGTCATTGAAAGGTTCTTACCCTTCTCTGCTTCCTTACCTTCTGAAGAAGGTGCAACCAACTGAAATCACTTAACTTTGATTTCACCTCCAACTCCATTCCTACTATGGAGCTATCTCACCAGCTCCACACTACACCACAGCCTTGCATTTCATCTTAGTTATTCTTTAATGTGGCTGCTCCATGACTGGAGCAAGAACTACTCATTCATGAGACCTCAAGCTGTTAATCACTGAGCACTTAGAGCAGAAATTCTGCTATTTTTGCCCTTAATAATAATATCAAGTGACCTTACACTGGTGATTACAAAGTTTAATTTTGTTCCTACTCCTCTACTAAGAGCTCACTTAGTTCTTCTCATGTAACAATCTGATCCTCTTCTATTTTGCTTCTCAAATTTGTCATCCTCAACCTGAGATTTCTCCACGTGTGTAAAACAGAGACTAAAAGAACAGAGTGAGACCCTGTATCGTCATTCCAACTACAGCCCATGCCATAACTCTCTCAGAGATACCTTCAGCACCAAGGGCTTTGCATTTTAGCACACACATCTTCTGAAATGTCAGAGAGAGTTAATATATCATCCTCTTTCTCCTCCTCCTCCTCCCCTTCCTGGTGTGAACATTGCAAGCTCTGCAGAACTAGAGCAAACAGAGCCAGGTGAATGGATGGTTGACTTATTCTGTCCTGCAGATGGTCCACCACATCCACTCAGAGACAAGCCCTTTGTGCAACGAGCTCAGTAGGAATGCTCACACCTCAAGCTCTTTCTCCAATTAAGCTTTTCAAAATCAAGCAACACTTCATAGATCTCTGGGGTTCTCTTTTTTTTGTCTTTGTGTGAACATTATTCTCAGCGTTTGCTAGGTGGCAACGTAC